GAACAACTCATACTAAATACCATCACACAACACATGCGGGACAACCAGATGATCAGGCCCAGTCATCATGGGTTTATGAAAGGCAGGTCCTGCTTGACAAACCTGATCTTTTTCTATGACAGGGAGACCTGCTTGTTGGATGAGGGAAAGAGTGTGGATGTTGTCTACCTTGATGTTAGCAAGGCCTTTGACACCGTTTTCCACAGCAGTCTCCTGGCAAAAATAGCTTCTTGTGGCTTGGACGGACAATCACACGCTTTTCTGGGTGAAAAACCATCTGGATGGCGAGGCTCAAAGAGTTGTGATGAATGGAGTTAAATCCAGTTGGTGGCAGGTCACGAGTGGTGTCCCCCAGGGCTCGGTTTTGGGGCCACTCCTGTTTAACATCTTTACTGATGATCTAGACGAGGGGATCGAGTGCACCCTCAGTCAGTTTGCAGATGACACCAAGTTGGGTGGCAGTGTTGATCTGCTTGAGGGTAGGGAGGCTCTGCAGAGAGACCTGGACAGGCTGGAGCCATGGGCTGAGGCCAACTGTAGGAGTTTCCATAAGGCCAAATGCCAGGGGCCGCCCTTGGGCCACAACAACCCCCAGCAGTACTACAGGCTTGGGGAGGAGTGGCTGGAGAGCTGCCAGTCAGAGAGGGACCTGGGGATGTTGATTGACAGCCAGCTGGACAGAAGCCAGCAGTGTGCCCAGGTGGCCAAGAAGGCCAATGGTATCCTGGCTTGTGTCAGAAATAGTGTTGACAGCAGGGACAGGGAATGGATCTTACCCCTGTACTCGGCACTGGTGAGGCCGCACCTTGATGTCTGTATTCAGTTTTGGGCCCCTCACTACAAAATGGATATTGAATGACTCGAGCGTGTCCAGAGAAGGGCAACGAAGCTGGTGCAGGCTCTGGAGCACAGGTCGTACGAGGAGTGGCTGAGGGAACTGGGGTTTTTTAGTCTGGAGAAGAGGAGGCTGAGGGGAGACCTCATCTCCCTTCACAACTGCATGAAAGGAAGCTGCAGAGAGCTGGGTTTGAGCTTGTTTAACCAAGTAGTAAGCGATAGGATAAGAGGTAATGTCCCTAGTTGTGCCAGGGAAGGTTTAAACTAGATATCAGGAAGTATTTCTTTACAGAACAGGTTGTTAGGTGTTGTAAAGGGCTGCCCAGGGAGGTGGTGGATTCCCCATCCCTGGAGGTGTTTAAGAGTTGCATTAACGTACCGCTGAGTGATATGGTTTATTTGGGAACTGTCAGTGCTAGGTGAACAGTTTGGCTAGATGATCTTCACGGTCCTTTCCAACCTAGATGATTCTGTGAAAAGAAATAATTTTTCCAGGAAAAGTGTTGAGGGTCATATTTCAGTGTTCCTTACAATATTTAAAAATAAAAATTTATTTGTTATCTTTAATGTCAGATGTTTAAGTGATTTATTTTCATTCCTTAGTCCAGACAGTTTTGAGGCAGATGAGGATGAGTTTGCCATTATATAACAGTTGTGTAATACAAAGACTACAGTAGAAAATAAAACCAGAAAAATGTCACCATGTTGCCCCACAGCAATACATATTTATATCATTTGGAAAGCTGTTTGGAGACAATGCTGCCTGTTACTTTATCAGATAACCAGGAGTTGTTGTTAATATTTAAATATTATGAACATCTGTTTGTGATTATCAAAGGAAAAACTGAGGTCAACCACTGATTGTGACAACATGTTTCTGTGAGTCGTGTAAATATGTTGCAAACAGCTGCTTGGCTTCAGATAAGAATGAGTCACAACTCCCCCACCTGCCCATAAACGTCACAGGCCACTCCCCAGATACAGTTTAATTCCTCAAAACAAAACTTGAAGACTTGAAATAAGCTAAAATGTATAAAGAAAGTTTTAAGTTTGCAGAACACCTTTGCTTTCATGTTGTTTTCTTCCTTCATCTAATTGAGTTTACTTTGGAATTTTATATGCAGCTGGATGTGGATTAGCACTTACTATTTCCATTATATACTAATTATTTTGTCATGTCTTTTTAATCAAAATAACCTTGTTGTGCTATTTTCAGTGCTGTTTGTGGGACAGAACAGAGGTTTAAACAAGTTATTATTATTAATAAGCATCAGGCCTGAGACACTCATGTATGTACTTTCAGTTTTTGTCATATATTCCAGTAATTTTTTTTTCTCTCAGCACTTACATGAAAATGGGAAGTACTACTATCCCCATGGTACAGATGAGTCAGTAACACAGAGGAACTTAACACAATAGCATGGGCTCTTGCATTCTTAATAATTTTTTTTCAGTATGAAAAGATATCAGGATACAGGCAGATGAATCAATTAAAATATTTTAATGTTGGCATTATTACACACCTTTTGTATGAGGATTCTTATGTGTACTGCAATACCTGTATGTTTGTTTAAATATGCTACTGACAACTTCAGATAAAATGTTTTTAAATGTGAGAAGATAGTAAGCTTCAGTGACTTTTGTCTATCTCAAAATTATATTGAAAAGTAAAGTCCTTAGACATTTTTGAAATTTAAGCTCTGTTAAATAAGTGGTTGACTATCTAAATCTAATTCAGGTCCACTTGAAACCCTCTGGAGGACTTGTATGAGCATATGTAAGCACATATATCGATAAATATGCTCTGACTGTATGTAATCAGATTAATAATGGAAGCCCAAGGCACTTTATTTTTTTGTCACTGTTTGGATAACTTCACTGCCTTCCTGTTATGTTTTAAAATAGTACATGTGACTCTGTTCTTGCACAAATGTTGCTACTTGTTTGTTAACAGCTACAGTATTAAGCCCATTCACTCTAGGTAGTGGGAATGGGTGCTCTAAATGACTAAAGTGAATCTTCTGGTGATCATGTGTGACTTTTTTCAGTCAGACCCCTAGGTTTCTGTACATATCACATAATTTCTTTTGTTTTTTGAGACTCATTTATGGTCCCCCCCTTTTCACATCAGAATGGGTGTGAAGTTAGTCTCTGGATAGCTGTTGGCTGATGCTATTGATAACTTTTGATGCATTGATCTTTTCCTTTACAGTCACAGTTCTGGTAGCTCTGTTATTAGGTGATGAATAATTTCAGTCATTTTTAATACTGCTAGATTGAGCAATTCCTTCTTCCTTGCTCTTTTTAATTTTGTAGCGATATGTATGTTTCTGTTGCATAGTACCCACAAAATGAAGCTTATCAAATCCATTAAGATTTTAAGTTCATTCAGTTTACAGGCTGAAGACATCTTCATTTTACAGACATAACTGTCTGGCCTTACCAAAAACTTTAGACACTCAGGATTTTAACATTGTTTGTCCTGCTCTGTTATTCAGAGTCCCTCATATGCCTCAGCACAAACTGTCTTTGCTCTGATGCTACTTCATTCATACATGGCAACTGTAACAGACGGCCCAAGACATTCTTTATATTATTTACTTTTCTTTTGTCTTAGTTTAAGAAATTAGAGGAAACACTTGAAAAACATTTTAATTATGTTTCACTTCCCCTATGGCTTTTCAAGTCAGGTCCAGGGTGGGTATTTTGTATCACTGGTTGCAAGTTTCAGACTTATTCTTCCCTATTGAAGCAGTGAGACAAGAACTGGCTGGTTAGCCAGGAGTTCCTGCATTTCATCCCTTTTCACTTGTGGGGGATTATTTCCCCTTTATGTCTCTGAGTGGGTGTTGTAACTGCTAGAGTGGCATCTCTAATTATCTTTTCCTGTTTTGATATGCTGTAAAAAACTTCTGCTCTGAAAAGTTATTACATAAAATAACATTTTCTTACTCAATGAAATGTCTATTCTGTTTTAAATTCTACCTTACCTGCTGACAGCAATGGAAAATATAGTTACTGATTTTCTTCTTGGTTTGTTAAAGTTGCAGAGACAAAAGTTTGTATTGAAATTAACATGTAGTGAACACCCTGCTCCAGTTTAGCACTCCTGCTCTGTTCCACAAGTGTATTATACTTAAGTATTTGCTTAAGTTCAGATGTGATCCTTTTATGCCTCTTCACAATGTACATGTATTGCAGAGCAGGAATGGACACAAGCTTGTAAGTCTTTCCTTATTTGCAGTCCTGAGCTACCACTGGTTCCTGCAGCTCTAGCCTGGAGTCCTTTGCAGCTTTTTATACCCAGGGTAGGTGGATGCTAAAAACTGCTTGACACTGCTAGTGCAGGTATTTGTTGTTACATAGCTGCAGTCATTAAAAGTGTCTTTTTTGAATTTACATACTGAAAGTGTTTCAGTTTTTTAGACCCCTGCCCCCAACCTTGTAAGCAGGTACAATTACCATGGCTTAATTTCATCAGCTGACATTTAAGCAGACATTTTTCATCTGTTACTTGCTGTGGACTGCGAGTATAGAGCTCTTCAATTACCATAGTTTACTTGACCTGTACTAACTTGATAAACCCTCATATCTTGGTCATGTGTGTCTGAACTCAAGTTAATTAGGATAACTTTGGGTGAACTTTAGTTAATTAGGAGCAAGTTCATGCTAGACCAAGTATGTTATTCTGATGATGAAATAGGAATCTATATGAAAACATGGCTATTGCTGATCCAAGCTGATTTGCAAGAGGTGAGATTGTAGCGAAGTGTTTATTTCCTAAATCATAAATACCTCATATATTTAACTATGGTTCTATGAAAACAAACATATGCATTTATTCCAAAGTTTTGTAAAATACTCAAAAATAGTATGCCTTCTAATTTCTAAAGTTATCTTCCCTTGGTCTCTCAGTTTGTTTGTAGGCAGTGATTAAGTTCTATCACTGTAGTGTTTACATGTTACATTGTAACCAGAATTTGAATTCAGTCATAACAGTTTTGCTCTAACTCCATCCTAGAGTATGGGAAATGACCTCAGTCTGTTGGACACTATCTACCCTGTGCTTTACATTGTATGTTCTGTACTGTCATTACTATTAAATGTACTCCATGCAAGTCATGGGTGTTGGGATTTATTTGTTCATTTTTCTTTCATCCCAGAAAGAACATTCTCCGATTCTTGGATGCTGAAAGAGATGTCTCAGTGGTCAAAAGCAGCTTCAAGCCAGGAGATGTAATACATTATGTATTGGACAGACGTCGCACCCTAAACATTTCTCAGGATTTGCACAGACTTCTGCCTGAAGTTTCCCCAATGAAGAATCGCCGATTTAAAACCTGTGCAGTTGTTGGGAATTCTGGCATCCTTCTGGACAGTGGATGTGGAAAAGAGATCGATAGCCATGACTTTGTAATAAGGTGAGTTTTCATCTGCTGTGGAAGATAGAGCCTCCTATGCTTCTTGGAGAAAAGCTGGGAGAACTGTTTTAGTTTAAGATACAGATTTCTGACATTATCTGAAATTAATCTGAAACAGTATACTTCACTGTGTGATTCTCTGAATTTAAATACATGCCCATACTGTTGACAAGAAAATTATTTTTACTGTAAAAATAAAAGAAGGAGCAGAGGAGGGAGTTTTGAGCTACTTAGTTTTGCTGTTTTTTGTTTTTTTTTTTATTCTAGACAAAATGAATTTTCTGTGGACACCTGGGTAGAATGAATACAAAATGTTTTCTCTTTTAAAAATATATTCTTTCTTAGCTTTTGGCCAAAAAAGATGGCCTACTATAAATTACTACATTACTTATGTGCAGCATGGGGTAAAATTTCAGTGTGATGTATTGATGTTGAATTGGATGGCTGCCATTAAGGTAAACAGAAGTCACACATCTAAATTCATTCACATTGCTCTAAATGTATCCCTGCAGTTTAGGCAAAAATTTTGATATGCTTCACTTTTTATTCATTCTTTAAACAATAGAATACCTTTGGACTTCACATATCACTAGGAAACAAAGAGGAATAGCTGGCTTCATTTGGCAGCCTAGTGTTACACGGATATAGAGAAGGTTGGGCAGAAGAGAGGACAGTGACAGAAAACAGTGTGGAAATAGTTGTCATTGCAAGTTACTTGATTTTTCTTTCCTCACCTTGAAGAAATATGGTGGCAAAAAAAAAAAAATCAAAAGGATATGAAAAGAAAAACTACATTTTTCTGTACATAAATCGAAACAGAATATAGACACGAAAGTTGTTTTTTATTTGAAAGGTGTACTAGCAATACGAACAACCATTCCATTTTGCTTTTTTTTTTTTTTTTCTTATACCACTAGTCTTTCAAATTAACATCCTTATTGCAGAAGGAATCAAAAAATAAATACACATTTATAAACCAGATTTAGCTTATGGCATGCTTGTTCACTCTCCCAGTGATGAAATGCGATTCATTTAACAGGTTTACCGAAAAATTTAGATACTAGATTTTCTAGATGAAAATTTTCTTTCAGAAGGCAAGGTATATACTTAAATCATGTCCTGATTTTTTTTTAAGTCATCTCCATGCTCTTCCCCATGTTTTAACTGTCATGAAACTAGGTGATGATGCCTGATAGGAGATTTTAACTAATTCAAATCATATGGAGTAAAGATAATATTCTTAAAGATCTGTGTATAAATCAAAGAAGAATGGTGAAGCATCAGGAAGTTACTGTTGCTAGTAAGTTATTTAGACTGGAGAAACATCTCTGGTAAGGGGTATGACTACTAAGGCGATCAGTGTAACAACTAGTTTGATGATATTGTGATAGTAATCTTTTTGAGGTTCTGGAAATACTTTAAAGTAAATATCAATGAATTCATTTGTATTTTGAGTTAAAGAAAAATGCAAACTATACTTCAAACTTAGTTTCCCACATTCCTCTTCCATTTAAAAAAGTTGCACTCAACATGATATATAATCATGTGATGTAATGGTACTGGATACTTGGTAACCACTCACCGCTATTGCTGTTAGTATTCTGGTATTAAAATGTACCATGACACTGTTATTCTGCTTTCAGCTGATTTCTCTACAAGTAAAATTAAGTCATTCTACTCACCACCTGGTGGTGTTCTGAAAAGGTGTTACTGTATGTAATGTATGCAGCTAGGTGTAGAGGCTGATGAACAACATTTTCGTAGAATCTCCAGTTGCTGAGTGCAATATGCTTATCTGTTGGGGCAAGTATGTCATGCTATTCTGGTTAAATATATTATCTGTTTGATTTTGATAGTACTGTATGTTCTTTTTGAGACCTGAAACAAAAGTGTGTGGTTTTGAGATATTTTTTTTCTTAGAAGTTAGCAGTTGTAATGTTAAATCTGACACCAACAATACCCTTAATTGAATGTTAAAACTGATAGCGGAGATCTGTGAAAGTGAAGAGGACACCACAAACATCTAGCAGTATATGCATTACAGAACTTAATATCCTGAATTTTAATGCTTCTGTGAAAGTGGTATGAAGATGTTGGCAATAAGTGTTAAAAACACTGAATATACACTTTATTAAGTGGAAAGAGTGTCAGTACCTAGCACATTAAGTAATTTGTTAGTATCTGTCAGTGTCCTAATACTTGTCCATCTTGCTTTGAGACATTCCAGTGCTTCTCTAGGTAACAGTGCCTCTCAAAGAACATTGATCCAACATAGACATCAGTAATTAGAGTACTTTTATTACGAAAAAAGTTTAAAAATAGACATCTAAACTGGAGTCAAATAATAGACATGCCTGCAAGCTAACATATAATTCTGTCAGCAAATTTTACAAGTAAAACAATACAATTCTTCCTCTTCAGACATCTCTGAATGTGCATAAATAAGAGTAATTTTTGCAAGCAATGTAATATCTTGTCAGCATAAGTAGATTTACTATATTCACCAAACATTTTAAAGAGGCTTGGTTTTAATTACTTATTCATATAAAAGCCTTATTTTGTTCTCAGGGCATCAGAATCAAGAGACAAGGGACATAACTTCTGCTAGGATAAAATGAATTAGTTCCACAAGTTCAGTGAAATCATGCCTATATTGACAGTAGGAATTATGACCCATCTAGTTAAAATGGGAAGCAAGGAGACTCTTTGCTATTAAAAAAAAAGTGTGCTATTAACTATTCCAAATTCCCATATGCCTTTCCTTTTTACCTTCTATTACTTTACACCCTCTTAAGTCAATATCAATCCTTGCACCTCTACCATTTTTGTAGTGGTGAGCTAAAGCATGCTGCTTTACCATTTAGCACTTTGATACTATACCCAGAAAGGCTCTGAAGCATTCCAAAATCTCTGATTCCATAAAATAAATCAGAATGAAAATATAAGATAATCTACCAGGTTACATTTAAAAATCTATAAATGGCACCATGCTGTTGCAGGAGCTGGTTTTTGCATGGTACTGTTTTCTGCTGTTTGTCTAACTGTTAGGTGAGATATATTTTGCTCACTCCCTGTGATATTTAAATGCAATACATATTATTCCCCCATTGTCTACACTTTGTGATGCTGAAATTCTCATGCCAGAGCTATGTTAGTTGTTACATCTTAAGAAACAGATGAGCTTGTTATACTAAGTGATACATTTTGAAATGCAGTAGGTACATAGGACTTCCTAAAAAAGACAACTGTATTTTGGGTAAATAACAATACTATAAACATTGCCAAGTAATAACTGTCAGATTCTTGGAATTACTTCTGGCAACCAGGAAGTACCAAAAAGAATTCAAGTCAGCTTTGGGTTCAGAATTTGAATAATGCCAAAATTTGGAAGAAATTTTTTTTGTTTTAATTGATGGAATTCATCATTCATGATGGGAACTATAGAAAAGCAGAGGCCAACTAGAGTTTTGGAGTTACTTGGTTAAAAAACAAACAAACCCCTTCAAACCTAATAGATAATCTTGTGGTTTTTCTTGTAGTGACACTTCTGATAAAGTCCATTTAATTTAATTTAATTTAATTTCATTTCATTTCATTTCATTTCATTTCATTTCATTTCATTTCATTTCATTTCGACTATACAGAGAACAGGCCTCTTGAGTGAAGCTATTTGACTAGCTTAGGGCTGCTCTGAAAAGCAACAGCCATGAGAGTGTATTAATCACTTATAAATTAGGCACTTCAGTCCCAACAAAGAAGTTACAACTCTTCTTTCTCATTGGAGTGTTTTCCTTCTAAATCTGTCAGCATCTAGGAATCAAGCTGAATATTTTTGCCATCATGGGTGCTAAAATTTTGCTGGGCAAATGTCACGCTTATTTTTCTAGTGTCCTTTGTCCTTCGTGTTTTAAGTTGGCAATTCTTGTACTTAGAGAAGTTGCCATGCAAAAAACTGGTAGTCCTTTAATAAATCTGTTGGTTTATCCTATGCAAAGAAGAAGATAATGTTTGACTTCCTCCCTGATATCTTGGATTTGTGAGGAAGCAATTGTGATTTGAGCAGAAGACATCGTATCTATTCAGGAAGAAGAAAAGGACAGACCTTCTAACCATACCATGAAGATGTGTTTTCTTATTTCAGGAGAACAACTTAAATTTCTCTGCTAATATTAATATCTAAGCAGAGAGTGATAGTAGCTTCTTTCTTCTGAATTATTTATTCAGCTAATAGGAAAAAGCAATCATAAATTTGTCAGAATTACAATATTAATGTACTTATATTCTGGGGCTTCTTTTTTGTTTTGTAACTTGTATCAGCTTTTATGTTCAAATACTTATTTAATATACCTTGCTTGGAGCATAACCATTGTGCCTGTAGAGCTGGATGCTCAGAATCAGCAGATCTGTTGAAGGTGAAGTTGCCAATTTAACAGACTCATTTTAAAAAATGTTAGTGCCTTAAAAATAACATTTGAATACATCATGACTAGCTCATTAGACCTTTTTCAGCTTTCAAATATGGCAGCTCTATTTTTGCCCTCTGTCTCTTCCTACAAATTGTGACATACTTTGAAACATTGAATGAAAGCAGAAGAAAGCCAGAAACCATAATGTTCAGATGTTCTTGCTCAGTGATTTGGGTGCCTGAGAAAGGGGGAAGCACCAGTGTAGCTGTTCAGTGTTTTCAGTCAAGTTAGACATGACCTCCTCCTCAGGAGAACCTTGGAGAAAGCCTGGCTTCTTATGGCCACATTTTCCCTTTTTGGCTTCACCTCATGTTTTCTTCAGCTGCTGGAAGGGTCCTTGCATGACTGCTACTCCAGGTAGCCCATCATGAAGTGAGAGCTGATACAGAAATGTCGTCTTATGAAGCTGAAACTCTTCGTACATAGCATCTGGTGCTGCATATGCTTGGGGCCACAGTACTGTGTACCCTTCATAAGCATTTATAATTCTGACTTTAGTGCAACTTCCTATTTTATTTTATTTTATTTTTTTTT